AAATCACCAGGTAACGCTAAAAAACATTACATTTAGATTGAATGACAAAGTGTTTATTTAATATATCTGGCTAGCTATAGCTACTTGCTAACGGTTTAGCTTACCCCCGCGATTCAAAGTAACGTCAACGTAGCTGTAATTTCTCCTGGCTCAAGTGCTGGCTCTGGGGTTGTTGTGTGAACCACCACTTGAGAATTGTCGTCTTTTTTAAGAACAAATGTTCTTATGTCCATCTTCAAAAACTCTGAGTCTGAGACTGACAGTTTATTTTAAAAATTGTCACAGCTCACAGGATAGGTACCTGTCAGCCAATAAGACAGATGTTTATTTCCATTCAACTCTCTGGTTGGTCTGGTGTCTTGCCTCTGTTGCATTCACTGAACACGGGAAATTACAATCCTGCCGTCCTCTCTAGTGTCATGATGAGGTTCAGGTAAAGCACGGTTAATGTATTATATGATTGACTCAATAATATAATACATGACTTTGAGAGTAGGCAATCTAGGCATATTAACACAATTAATTAAACATACTTATCACGGCGACGGTGTACTGAGATAAAAAACGGTGTACTGAGATAATAAAAAAAAAAATCTTTTTTTTTTTCAATTTTTGCTAGGGGGCCCTTAGTGGCTGCGGGGCTCTAAGCGGCCGCTTATGTCGCTTAATGGGTCGGGCCGGCTCTGGTCACAGGTTCTAACCCCACTGCAGTCAGCATGTCGTTGTGTCCCTGGGCAAGACACTTCACCACAAATTGCTCCTGTGGGGATTGTCCACAGTAAGTCGCTTTGGATAAAAGCGTCTAACAAGTAACATGTAATGTAATAATGTTATGGCATGTTTTGAATTGTTGCCACATATTCCTGATACCAGACTCAGATGCGCAGTAATAATACTCCGATACAAAAAACTGTTTTAGTGCACGAGCCTGTCACCTCTGGCGCGTGGGTGGCAGCAACCCATTAACACCTGAGGTGTGGGGCTTACATAACATCCGGACTTTGGTTGTGAAACGGGCCGACACGTGGCCATGGGAATGAAACCTAAACATTTGGTTTAACCCTCCTGTTATATTCGTTTTTTGTAACAGCAATAATATTCGTGGGTCAATTTGACCCACTGCATGTTTAATTATCCAAAAATGGTCAGAAGCCCCAAAATCCAGATTTTTTTTTGTACATAGTTTGTACCTTTGTATCAATGAAATCAATATTTAGTGCAATTGTGTTATTCACCTCTCACAGATCATGGTTCCATTAGAATAAATCACTCGTTTTTCACAAAACATATACATTCCAACACATTTTTCTATTTTCTTTTTTACATTGGAAAAACCTTGATATAGAATACATTAGTTTTGCATAACATAACATTTTTTAAATTACTTGTTCCAACTTTTTTTCCAATTGGTTGATGTTGATAAATAGAGACGAGACACCTCTTCTGTTCAGGGTCAAATTGACCTGTTCACTTAGAATCAAGCCAAATTAGTCATAAGGATTTGTATTGAAAGTATTTTATTGTAACAGCAATTAAGAACGTGTGTGTGTGTGTGTGTGTGTGTGTGTGTGTGCGTGCGTGCGTGCGTGCGTGCGTGCGTGCGTGCGTGCGTGCGTGTGTGTGTATGTGTGTGTGTGTGTTCGAGTGGGGTAGTGTGTCTTGTTTCGGTGAAAGAATGCAGTTTTGATCACCCTAAAACTAATTAATTTGCTCTGAAAGGCAGAGACTGATCACACTGTGTTCTTTGCAAATTGCAGGGAAAAAGCACATTGCACAAATGTTGCACAACCACCTCATTGTTGTATGTAACCTCTGCATTTCTGTTCCAGTAACTGTAAAGCTGTCAGCGGTCTCCAAGTCTGACTTCTGATTTACAGTTTGAGTGTGTGTGTGCCGTCTCCACATCTTGAGGCTCTGAGACACTTCAGAATTTTTTTTGTCTAGAACAGTATTCAACTCTCTACGACAGACTTATAATCCCCTTCGTTGACACCATCATGTAATTTAACACCATTCTTTAAATAAATGATAATTATGTCATACAGTTGAATTGTTTAGGTCCCTGGTTCCCAACAATAGGGACCAGAGCCCCACTTAGGGCCTCCACTGCCAGGTGCGGGGTGTCTGTCTGTCTGTCTGTCTGTCTGTCTGTCTGTCTGTCTGTCTGTCTGTCTGTCTGTCTGTCTGTCTGTCTGTCTCTGTCTGTCTGTCTGTCTGTCTGTCTGTCTGTCTGTCTCTGTCTGTCTGTCCCTCTCTCTGTCTGTGTGTGTGTGTAAAATTACAATATATATATACCGTATATCCCATTTGAGCCCTCTGACCCCTTCTAGCCTCCACTTTCACGTGTGTGTGTGTGTGTGTGTGTGTGTGTGTGTGTGTGTGTGTGTGTGTGTGTGTGTGTGTGCATTTCTGACCCCTTTTAGCCTCCACTTTCACCGCCGGGTCAGATTGACCCGAATACCATCTCTGTGATATAGACATGTAGGGGGGGGGGTTCCAAATGCATGACAAGAACCATTTTAATTGTACTTGTTTATTGCACTAATTAAGGTAAGTAGAAGAAGTTTTTCGTAGATTTTCAAACGGGTCAATTTGACTCTGAATGTAACAGGAGGGAATATTAACTAACTGAACTTAAACATGTATATATAGGTAGACCTATGCAGCTATATAAACGTGTCAAATAGGTGAGTTTTCACATAGGACTGCAACTTTGAAGCTCTCTTGCCCAAAAATAAACTACTAACAGAAAGTTATAAACTCGATACAAACTCGAACTTTGTTTATGGTAGCCTAAACATATTATAGTTAGATGAGGTCTCGTTATGTGAACTGCAGTCATCAAATGGTTAGTTGACGAGGCCAAAAGGAGATTTATCACTTTGCATTTATTGAGTTCATGCTAAAGTGGCAAAAACCAACAGCGACAGAACTGCCGATTGAAATGTTGATCGGGGTGGTGGGAAAGAAATCCCTTGAAATTTCAGGTCATTCAGATATCCTACATTTTATAAAATAAACAAAGACCTAAGTAGCTAGATACATCCGCATTGGAGTAATCTTGATCTAACACTGACAATAAATTAATTTAATCTTCATCTAGAGAGAGCAGTCTCACATGAATCCCTAATCTGTTTCCAGCTTTAATAGATTGATTTAGTCCTGTGTCCCTTTTCTTCGGGGGTTTAAGCTTTAAAGCTCACAAAAGAGCATCCTGTCCAGAGATCAGCGCTGCGAGACTAACACCTGCTTTGATAAAGAACGCTTTCAAACGAGCTTTCGAGGAATGTGTGTATAATACATGGTATAAAGTGTATAGTTCAAAAAAGATATACTCACATAGGAACAAATTCAAATAAAAAATAAATACAGATCTAAAATAAAAAAATGGTGATATTTTAAATGTTCTTCATGCGGTTTAAAGCTGTTCAAAGTGTCCTCAAATGTATCCCAATCCCAAATAACAATAATTTTATTTCATTAATTTCCCTATTTACTACAACAATTACGCCACCATAAATCAAGTGTTTTCGTGAGGGGTTAAAATGCTATCCTGCCTTCTGATCTTTGGGATACTTAGCCAACGATGGTGAACAATTATGAGACCTTCAAGTGTGCATTTGTATGCTGATAAGCGACAGCCTGTAGTGCAGTCTTTTTACATGCAGAATAGCACACGACAGTGGCCATTAACACACTGTTCAGGATGCAGACTCTTTCACCCAATCTACAAAACTTTAGAGAATGATTTGTAAACTCAGCAAGCCAGACCCAACGTATATTTAAATATCTTGTCATAGGCTACATGTACCGTTGGATCTGTATCCTACGTTGGTGCGTTTTGATATAATTATAAATTGAATTATCACGTTGAAATAGTTTGCTTAATCAAACTGAATCTCACATTTTCATCCCCAATTTGTTTTGTTTGGTTATTTAAAATATGTAATATATATTCCTGAGGTTTTACGCGGATTTGGTTTAGCATCCCCCCACCATCAGCTGCTGTTATTGTGCTTTCCAGCACGAGTAGTGTCAGTCTGCACCTGAACATTTTGAGTAGGTGCTAAAGAAAATAACACAGCACGTGTTCCTTAAACACAGCATCTGTTTTGTTGATCATGCATGGTGCATGGTGGGCCTATTTTGTAACCTTTCTATTTTATAGCAACGCGTGCCACACAATATAACGTATACCCAATATAATAGATGCATTATTGTGTTGAATTTAAACATGTACCTTTGAATTGGGCACACTAATTGTTCTGGATAACCAGGTTGGACGTCCAACGTTCGTTTTGTAAATTGGATGCCTCACCTGAAGCAGTCTGGCTGCTGGACAGTGTGTGAATGACCACTCTCCTGTGCTTTTCTACCTTTTAAAAACTGCACTTCAGATCAGAGAAGCACCCGGCCCCCCACTATCAACATATCAAAAGACAAATGTGTCATAACTGTCCAGCCCGGCTAAAGTATGTGCTAACTGTCCTGTGGATGTGCCACTCTGGTTCAAGTACAAGCTATTCACTCAGCAAAGAGGCCACTCGATTATTTTTGGAATGATCAGGAAGGTGTGCTTTATTGAAATTGGGAACAGACAATTCAGCAGGCACAATCATAGAATAAACTCCATGTCTCTTATATGTACAATATCAGAGCAAAGAAAAGAAAAATAGAATGGCACCCAAGTTGTTTTTCCGCATTTTACGCACGTGTCTAAGCAACACCAAACATAAGTAGGGCTCATCTCATATAAACAAAACATGTGTGGACACTGCTGCGCAAAAACATCTCATATTTATCAAAAAATGATAATATGACGCGCATGCCAAAAAGTAAATCTTACGGCAAAAAACGCCACATGTGGATCCTTAAAGGGGATCATTTGTTTTCATGGAAAATATCATCAATGTACAAAAGATTGCAGACTGTACAACAAAATACATATTTACACAGTCTGTTGGCATCTTTTAAAAATATAATCTGAGTCAAAGAGTCTGTTACTGCGGCCAGGGCCTCCACACAGGGTCCGGGATGTGCGCACCGTCTGCGGCGGAGGAGAACAGCTCCCGGGTGTCGCAGTGCATGCTGGTCCTCTCGGTGCAGAATGATGGATGAGCGTGTTGGCTATGATGGTGGACCGGATGAGGAGACCGAGAGGCCTGTGTCTTGAGGATGTGTCCGGGAGATGCAGGGTGCCTCTGGGGTTGGGGAGCCAGACCTGCCCCCTCATCGGTCTGGGCTAATTCCTGGCTCTTGCTGGAGATGAAGTGGCTGACCCTCAGCAGGCAGGACCTCATGCCGTCTCGGTAGTTGACCTGGCCGGAGGTCGGCCTCTGCTCCCGGGTCAGGACACTGTTCATGGCCCGGTGACCCTTGTCCATCTCCACCTCTGACTGCAGGAAGTTCACCACACTCTCCAGAATCTCTGCCTTCTCCACCTTTGGATTTTTGAGTCTCTAAAAGAAGAATACACAATCAATAGGAAGTATAGACTTTGATACATTCATATTTCATAAGATATCGAACTTAAATACAAGCATGGCGCACAAGCTTACATCATCATGGAAGTTTTCCAGCATCAGAATTCGTAATGTCTCCAGGCTGCTGTTGATCCGCTCACGTCTGCGTTTCTCCATCACTGGTTTGGAGATCTAAGGATTACAAATATTGCAATTTACAACTCCGAAAAAAACGTTTTAGATCGTTTTCTTTCATTCTGAAACTGCGCACATGATGCAAACGCTTACCCTTCTGTTACTCCTCTGCCTGGGAGACTCTGGTGAAGTCAAAGCCTTCATCACTGACGGCGACACAGTTGGTTCTTGCTTTGAATCCAAAACGAAAAGTGGTAGGATCCCTTTGCAGTTTGTTGATATCCCTGCAGGTGTCCCCGCCCCCACGGGACACGCCTCTCATCCATCCAGCAGCACGCGGCCTTGACACTGAGGTCCCTTTGAATGTATTTAAATCTATAATCCCCTTATTTTAACCTCTAAGCCACATTTAACACGTATTCTTTTAGGGGGGTTTGCCATGTGGGTTGAAAAAGGTTACAGTTTGGTTTCTTTATCCTGTAAAAGGGTAAATTCTCCCGAATCACCATTTTTAAGTTTATCATTCATGATTCATTCACATGAAATAGTTGTATTCTTTATTTTTTTTTAAATGTAATCGAAAATCTACCTTATATTGAATAAAATAGGAGGTAAATATAACATGTGTTGAACTGGTTTAGTTTCATTGCTTGGATTGCACTTCACATACATTTTAAACTGGTTGTAAGCTAATGCAGAAAATACAAAATGCTGCTAAAATATATAGAAATTGTTTCATTCTATTTTTTTGGAGACATACACAATTTTTCTTCAGTTCAATTTATAATGTAGCTTGTTATTTTTTATTATGTGGTCTCGATTCGTTTTTGTTGCTAAAACTATTTATTTATTTTTTGTTTACTATTCATCTCAATTAAGCCTTCCTTTTTTATTTGTTTCTTCTTTCTATCCCCCTTTGTTTGTAATGTTGGTTGATCTCCTTCTTTTGTGTCTTTTTGTCCTAACTTTATTCATTGTGTGAGAAAAAAGCCCCAAAATACAGTTGATTTACAAATACGACACCAAAAACAAAACATTTTTTCTCCTGTCTGAAAAAACTGTGGGTAAACTTCTCCTGCATGTTGATGTGAACCCATCCACACCTCTCCCGTTAGGACCTGGCGCCATAGAGCCAAACTGCCTCATTCACACCTGAAGGCTGCTGTGTTTATCTTTAGAGGCTGTGGTGGGAAAACTCCTGACTGGACACGATCTGTGCAGAAACATCCAGTAGCCATAGTAGTAGTTTCTAACGTGCATTATTTCAGACCAAAGTTGGGGGGCTTTGCTGACTTTGGGGTAGCTTTCTGCGCACTGCATTTATGGCCCCCTGATCCCCATAATAGGCTAAAGTGAGGAGATAACACTGGGATGATCGGATCACGGGGATCCCGTAGATTAAAGAGGCTTTTCAGAGGCAATGATAGGCTACTTCCGTTTTAAATCAAAGAGAGGGCGATTAGTGCAGGCTCACAGATCACGGCTGGTTACCATGGAAATTCACTTTATTCATATTTTTTTTACCATGCAATTTACAATATAACCTAGTAGTCACCTTTTTCTGTAGACTGAAATGTATTTATATGTGAAGTTAGAATTGATTAGCTTCGTTATGCATACGAATGACTTAAATTAAATTAAATTATTCGTTTAAAAAAATATATAGGCCTATAGGCTATTTTGAATCCTAAAGTTTGCAGTTGTTTCGCCATAAGAGTTGAGGTTTTGGCTAAAAACGATGAAAAACTCTAGGAATGGTTATTAAGTTCAGCTAACTTGGATTATTGTACCTCCGTATATTTTAATATTACACTTTTGAGCAAATTATTTAAGCCACGTGCATCCGCCCCCTAAATAAGCCCCCAATAAGGTGCGCGTCTGAGCCTGTGATTGAAACTAATTAGGCTAGTGTGGAAATAAACGTGCCCTTTGGTTGCGGAGAAATGGACCGTTCCCTTCTAATATCGTGACCTTTGGGGTGTGTCGGTGACAAAAGAGCTGGAATCAAACGGAGGGCTTCGCTGGGAACATGCACTCAGGTCAACATCTGCTTTGATTTTAAAGGGATCTCGTGTGAAGTCCAAACATGAGGTATCAAGCTGACCCGAGGCACAGCACACTTAACACTCATGTGTAATGATCATCCTCACACTTCAGCAGAAACAGACGGACCTGCTCCCTTTTGGCCCCGTGGAACCCCATTCTAGTTCATCAGCCTGCATTCATTTCGATTTTATCTGCTTAAATTAAAGTAGGCCTATTGTATTTGCAGTTAAAATATGTGCTTTTGGAACCAGTGCTGTTTTATTGAAACTGACTTGATTATTCATTAGGACCTCATTTGGTATTTTTTCTCATCACTTATTCAACGTGTGGATGTCTCACATCATAAAAAGTGCTCATAGCTGCTCACTTTCTCACTTCATTTCTGTTCCCACGAGAAAGAAGCAAGTTTCCCAGGGCCTCACCTTTGGAAGGCGTCAAACACACATTTAGCATAATTATATTAATGGATGCAAAAATATCCTCCAGACTAAAGTTTCAATATCGCATGTCAATAAGATGGTTATAGGCTAATACTAAATGAAAGATATTCAAGTGTTTGTTACATTTAAAAGAAACTATTAATGAGTGATTTGGATGAATAGATCCATACTGCCAGTCAGATGGTATATTAACCTTTAAAAATATATGTTACTGGTAATAGGATTTCCTTAGATATTGATTATTATTCAATTAACTTTGAATAATATACTTTTAACTTGAAACTTTGAGACACCCCACTTTCTGATTAGTGTTTAAAGTGCATAGTTTCGAATTTATCCACGGGCCATTAAAACGTTAGAGAGCATTTTCGTTTAGGTGTCGTCACTCACACTTGTCAGCCAATCAGAGGCAGCACGAGCTCTACTTATACCCATGCTCACGCGCCAGGAGGCTGTTTAAGCCACTTCAGCCTTCAGTCAGGACGTGAGGACCCAACTCTGCAACATGACCAGGAAACAGAACACAAGTCTGGAGGATGGGAAGAGTAGGAAAAGGGTAAGAACTTATAAATAATATTACTTATTTAATTCATGTTTTTCTATTAAGGCCCCCATTAACACGTTTTTTTTCATGCTAATTATCAATTAATAATACTTTATGTAACAGACATTAATGAAAACTAGTTTGGGGTTGACAGGTTATTTATATGTATGTTTTTATTGCATGTTTTCTTTTAAATTCGTTTGTTTGTAAAAACATTTTATCTTATTTTGTAAATTACAAAAAAATTACCCTAATGATAACCAATAAGATTATTACAACCTGGCAATCCACATTTTTCTTATCAATAGCTGAACTCAATAACATGAATATGTGAATCACTCCCACTTTGAAGTTTTGTTTTGATTTGTTGGCGTGTTTACTTGTATTAGCTTATATTTCCTGTTTTAATTCATTTGATTTTATTATTGCTGCTTTTGGGTTTTATTGTTTGCATGCTTTAAGTAAAATGCTATAAAATAAAGGATACTATTTTAATATATAATAACTTAAAGGTGGGGTAGGTAAGTTTGAGAAACCGGCTCGAGATACACTTTTTGTTATATTCCATGGAATGCTCTTAACATCCCGATAGCAATGAATATCTGAAGTGCTTTGACAAAAAATCCATAAAAAAATGTAATCTGTGGAAGCCGTAATACTGTAAAAAGCACGACCAATCATTTTAGCCGGCACGGCTAAAATAACTGGATGGCCTACCTGCCTGTCAGCCTTCCATCTGTGCACAAACTTATCTCGTGCCCTCATTGGTCATGTGCACGTTCGTGTGTGTTGGAGGAGGGAAGTGGGAGATTTTTTCCGGCTGTGTATTTTCAAATTCTAGCACACTCGAGCTGGTTTCTCCAAAATGACCTACCCTACCTTTAAGTCATCTTTGAACAATATATCCATATCCATACTCACACAATGTGGTTTGTTTCTCTCCAGATTCTGAAACCCGTTGTGGAAAAGAAAAGAAGAGATCGAATAAATCAAAGTCTAGGTGAACTGAGAAGTTTGCTGTTGAAGCACACGTCTGATCCCGTGAGTCATATTTACCAAATCACACCCAGCCTCTACACATATCTGAAATAGACTTTTCAATAACCAATTGCATTTCTCCCCTCTGTTTGGCTGTTATCACCTACAGCGGCTTCAGAATCCTAAAATAGAGAAAGCAGAGATTCTTGACTTGGCTGTGGAATATGTTCAGACATGGACAGACGGGAAGAACCACAGAAAGGGTAAATCAAACAAAAAAAACAATAAGGTGTTAACATTTGTGACATTTTTTATGAAAATCTTTATTCTCTGCAACAAATCTAACCAGTTTTATCCCTCCCTTTGGTGTCTTTGCTGCAGACTCTATAGACAGTCAAATGAGGACTCCTGTGGCATCTCTCCATCACCCAGAATCCATTGCTCCTGCTCCCGTCACCATAGAGGGTGCAGGTTTTCAGCAGTGTGTGGCCCAGCTGACCAGCTACATGAACAGAATCCCCCCGGCACAGAGGAGAAGCCTGATCGAGGGTCTCAAGCATCACACAGAGAGCCAGCAGCCCCACACCATCACAGCAGAGTATAACCCCAGATTGACAGATGTGACCAAAGCACCAGATGGATTATCCGGGGAGTTCATTTGCACATCTGAGAGGAGAGAAGAGTCTCCTAAATTTCATTCCCACTCCACGTTCCACCCTCTCGCCTGCTCCACACCTTGCCACGACTACCTGTCACCCCCTCCCTCCCCCTGGCTCTCACCCTCCTTCTCCACATACGCCACCTCTCCTCCTTTCCCGTCATTTGCCTCTCACTTCTCCTTCCCCCCCAGCCTGTCACCTCGGTCTTGCAACACCTCCTTCTTCAGTTTCTCGCCCCCTCTCTCAGGCCCTGCTTCCCTCCACTGCCCCCCTTTCCTCACACTCAGGTCCCCTCCACACCCTGCACAGAGGGGGGGCCACCCACCAAACTCTCCCTCCTCCATTTGGAGACCTTGGTGAAGTTTCTAGAGAGTGGCAGACTGAGAACAACAGAGACACCTTGTGGGAATGTCAACCGTTAGCTTTGGAGAGGAAGAAAACTCTCCATGCTGTGAATGTATAGTGTACATATTATTATTATTATTATTATAATTTTATATTTTGTATTTCTCTTTGCAATAAAACGTGTACTTCAAATTAATAAGTCTCAAATTGTGTATTTATTCACTGTATTTACACTCACTGCTCGCCTTGCATTGAAGGTTTATGTTCCCTTACACATGGCTTTCAACTGCCTGTACTGACCATTCTGTCCATTTTATTGACAATTGTAACTTTCTGGGACCGCAGACATCTTTTTAAGGCAGATGGAGTTTGCCTGAACAAGTCAGGAGTAAAATTGTTTATCTCTAACATATTCAACTGCCTGCGTCTTCATCACCATGCCTACCACAATCATCCGAACCAAAACGTCCACCACCTCCCCCCTTCAAGAAAGCATCTGCTGTCTCCGAAGCCTGATAAGGATGTGTGTGTACAAAATGCAGCAAACTCTAACTCAGTGGTTCTCAACTGGTTAGGCCTCGGGACCCACTTTTTACTTGGTCAATACATCGTGACCCAACATTTTGAAGCACTCAAATCTATTCAACAAAAAATCGTGCTGTAATATATACGCTTTTCAGCATACAATATTAATAAAAGTGAAGTACAGTGCATATATCCCTTATATCCCTTCACAGAACTAAAGTATGCTTTTAAAAAAGGTTTAATGAGATAATGGAATCAAAGCTGAAATATAAAAAGGCACACATGCTGAAAACCCAACCCCAGCAGGGGGGTCTGGGGGGATTCTCCCCCAGGAGATTTTTAGAAATACTAACATAAACTACGCATTCTGGTACACTCTGAGAAGAAAATAAATAAATCTATTACTACCCGACATATTAATAATATGTTATGCCATTGTTTGTTTTTCACTTAGTTCTGACAGCTTGCTGAGAGAAGAGTAAAGAGGAGATTCTGTGTGACTTACTTTAAATTGTGGGTAAGGGTAGATAGCTCCCATTGTTCTGTGACCTGTCAATCATCAAACCGGGGGTCATATTTCATTATGTGTTCATTTTTATCTGAAGTTGTACCCATGGATGTATAAAGAATAGTTCTACCTCAGTTATTCTCCGTGGGGACTTCCGGCAACAATCTTGATTCTGATTGGCCAGAAGACTCGAAAAAACATCAGCAGAGATGTTTTATTGAGAAGATGATCACTACATGACAGAAGTTTTCAAAACCATTTATGGTCTCCGGTACTTCCAGTCCAACGCCTACTGCATGCACAGCGTTAGAAAATCGGTCATTCAAAATAAAAGTTTGCATTTTTTCCCAAAAAAAAAAAAATTCCAATTTTTTTTTTCAACTTTTTTTTCTTCACTCACACATCCGCGACCCACTTGAAACGGGTCCGCGACCCACTTTTGGGTCGCGACCCACCAGTTGAGAACCACTGCTCTAACTGATATGTGCTGGGTCCAGGCTCAAGGGCGTATGGCACTCTCAACTCTTTCCAGGACAAGCCGGGGCCCTGCCTGCCAGTAGCTTTGCCGATATCTGTGTATCACAGGGTGTATAAGGGATGGACGGGAGGAGGAGTACAGAGCGCTGGTGGGTGATTTTGTTGAGTGGACTGGAAGAAATCATCTGCTTCTGAATGTGGCCAAGACCAGAGAGATGGTCATTGATTTCAGGAGGAAGAGGACATCTCCTCCTCTGCCCCTGTGCATTCTAGGAGAGGATGTGGCTGTTGTGGAGGTCTAAGTACCTGGGAGTGCACTTAGACAATGGGCTGAACTGGAGGATCAACACTGACGCTGTGTACAAGAAGGGGATGAGCCGACTCTATTTTCTGAGGAAGCTGAGATCCTTCAACGTATGCAGCAAGATGCTGGAGATCTTCTATCAGTCTGTGGTGGCTAGTGCACTCTTCTTTGCTGCGGTCTGCTGGGGGGGGGGGCAGCATAAGAGACTGTGACACCAGCAGAATCAATAAACTGATCAGGAAAGCTGGGTCAGTCATCGGCATCAAGCTGGACCCCTTTGAAGCTGTGGTGGAGAGGAGGACACTGAACAGGCTGTTGTCCATCATGGATAACCCCACCCATCCTCTCCACCTGCAGCTGGACAGTCAACGGAGCTCCTTCTCCAACAGACTGCTGCAGCTCCGCTGTCACAAGGACAGATACTGGAAAACATTCCTGCCCACTGCAATAACAAAGTACAATAAATCACCTCTGGCTGGAAGAGAACTCTGCTCCATAGCTTCTCTTGGAATAAAACCACGTTGTACATTTTACTCTATAATCTGTTCAATATTTATACTCCATATTCCATATATTTTGAATATATATATATATTTGTATACATATATATAATATCTGCATGTATATTTTCTATTTCGACATGTATATTTTATATTTTATATTTTATTTTATTTTTCTTTCTATTCTTGTATATTTTGTAGTTTTGTTTTATTGTAAAATGCCTTTTATGCTGCTGTAACAACAACAATTTCCCAATTTGGGATCAATAAAGTACTATCTATCTATCTATCTATCTATCTATCTATCTATCTATCTATCTATCTATCTATCTATCTATCTATCTATCTATCTATCTATCTATCTATCTATCTATCTATCTATCTATCTATCTATCTATCTATCTATTTATCTATCTGTGTTGATAGGTAATAGATTGAGATCGGTGAATCAGCTTAGAAACAGGAAGCGCTCAAACGTTTGTGTGAGTTCTCCAATGCGCAACGTCCCGCCAACACGGCCCCCAGACCCCATGCAGCATTCTCATCTGTTTCTCATTACTGGTGTAATTTTCTGGTTGCAAACGCCATTGTAACATATAATCACTGATGTTCCGCTGTAACGGTGGTGGACTCATCAGAACAGAGTGGACGAGCTGACCAATCAGAGCACACTGGGCTCACAGGGAGGGGGGGGGGGCAGGAGCTCCAACAAGCCATGTAGGACAGAGAGTGAATACACATACTATACAGAGATGCTGTATGAGAAACCAATGTGAGTTTGGAAAATTGCACAATATAAATCTATTCTAGTAGACCTCAACAATGGAATTATGATCAGTAGAAATGGCCATGACATGGGACCTTTAAAACAATTACTAAATCAGCCTACTATCACCTTAATATAATATATAATAATATATCCAGGATTAAAAGACTAATGTCACAGCAGGATTTGGAAAAACTTGTCCATGCTTTTATCTTCAGTAGACTCGACTACTGTAATGGTGTCTTCACAGGTCTCACTAAAAAATCTATTAGAAAGCTTCAGCTGATTCAGAACGCCGCTGCTCGAGTCCTCACTAACACTAAGAAAGTGGATCACATCACTCCTGTTCTTTACACTGGTTTCCTGTCTGTCAATGAATAGATTTCAAAATACTGCTGCTGGTTTATAAAGCTTTGAATGGTTTAGGCCCAAAATACATTTCTGACCTCCTGCTATATTATGAACCATCCAGAACTCTCAGGTCTTCTGGGACTGGTCAGCTTTCTGTCCCCAGAGTCAGAACTAAACATGGAGAAGCAGCGTTCAGTTATTATGCTCCAAATATCTGGAACAAACTCCCAGAAACCTGCAGGTCCGCTGCAACTCTCACTACTTTTAAATCCAGGCTAAAGACTTTTCTTTTTGCAGCTGCTTTTAATTGATATATTCATAATTTAAACTGCACTGTAACTTTTTATTCATGTATTTTTTCTTTTAATGTTTATTTTATTATCTTTTCTTTTTAATGACTGATTTTAAATGCCATTTTCTGAATGTCTTTTATTTTTGTAAAGCACTTTGAATTGCCTTGTGTTGAAAGGTGCTATATAAATATACTTGCCTTGCCTTGCCTTACACGACTTGTGTTCACTTGTGTGCATTAACATTTACATAATTTCACAAAATGATGATTAGACTACTTACTGCAGCATGATAGCCTGCAGCAATTAAAAACCTAGAGAAAATACATGAAAAGAGTCATGTCTATTATGGAATCTGTGTGAAGACGTTTAAAAATGTTTTGGTTTTTAGTTTCACAGATAAGTTAAACACATTTCTTCAAACAAAAGAGTAAAAAATAAAAAAATATTTGGGAGATTACCTATATACATTTTTTTTTAAATATATAAATCTAGTTTCCTTTAAGCTTCAAATAGTAAAGGATTTATCTTTATGTGTCCAAGAAATATAATTGCATGTTTACGTTATAACACAGGTGAATCTAATAACATTAACGATGGAACTGTTCTATTGTGGTGTCAGTGAGCCAATCAGCACCAGAGCTGGGTCAGCTAATTGCAATACAGCTAGCATTAATTACTGCTATTAAATACACATGCCTTTCTTGCTATGACTAAAATGCCTTTATATTTGTAGGAAGACAAATATACAATTCTATCTATGATAACATGTGAAACCCACAACATTACATGTAAAATGTATGGGATTCCATGTTAAACCTATTGGATTACTTGTGAAACCCATCATTGGGCTTGTTTTAATGGAACAGAGAACAGAGAACATGTGAAGATGGCGCCGGTGATAATGGCTGCCGAGTCTTTGGCTCCTCTCCAACTCAGTTTTTCAGTGTTTGTTTACATTTCGTTGTGTGCTTTTAACCTTGCCCGCACATTTGTATTTACTTGCACATCTTAAAAACATTCTCTTGCACTATTTTACATGTTTTATTTGTTTTACGTTCTATATATTTTCCTGTTGCACTGTTGGAGGAGCCTGTGACTTAAGTTTTTTTCATTGCCATATGTACACTGTAGCTAATGTGCACATGACAATAAAGCCATGAATCTTGAATCTTATTCCAATGGAATAATCAGAAGTCTAATTTCAATGAGCTTTTCATGGGGATCTTTCAGTAGACCAATCAGAGGGCTTGTTTCAATGTTCCAAAAGAAGCGCTTGTTCAATGGACCTAAC